TACTCAGCCATCACGATGACATTGATGATCAACTAACCAGCGACTCGGTCATTGGGTACTGCCACGGGCTCCTCCACTACTTTATTGTGTTTTATCAGGTGAAGAACATCGTGGAGTCGGAGGGGGGCCCTATTATCGAACAGGCCTTCGGGTTGGGAGCAGCCGTGAGGAGACCCATCGAGAGAGGCAATTCAGAACTTGAAGACCATCGAAGTTGATTAATACTAACATGCAGCATGTCAGGATCGGTCTTCCTTGATGTTGGGTTATCTATAGGGGGTATATAAGCAAAACAATTTCAACCCGTGCAGTTACGAAGCGGTCGTGAAATAGGAACGGGAATTACGCTGACCCGTTCGAACAACCTGAACGAGGCAGACTGCCTCCTCTTGAATAGATGCCGATTGAAAGTAGTCAATGAACCGAGAAAGGGAAGACGACCAAAAGTGAAGAGGCTCGAGGAGAGAGTGAAGCAGAGAAATGTGACAAATTGGTGTGGCGTGCTAGAGTCTACCCACGGTCGCCACTACCACGTACAAAGGGAGGGGATGGGACGGCGTGCCTCGCCGGGATGGCGAACCTATTACTTGCCAGAGTTTGTACCGAGAAGGAAGAAGGCTGTTGGGGATCGGGTATCGAAGAGGATAATGGACAGAGGCAATGATCCAAGGGATGTGTTCGACCCTGGAGTCCCCCGTGGACTATGCTGACCATTGATTGTTCATGATAGTTTTACTTGCGTTATTCAGTGCAATAGGTCTACGATGAAACTCCGATAGAGAATCAACTTCGATGACCTGTCGACGTGAACGCGGTTCTCTGGCCCCTGCGGTTCAAATCAAACCATAACTATGGTGCAGCCTCCAAATCAGGATGGCGAATGTTCTCTAAGCACCATCGCCAAACCGATAGCATTATGAAGGACTATCAACTCGAGTCCGTGGTTGCAAACGGCACTGCTATCGAGCATGCGTCTTAGGCATCCTTCTTGCTGTCTTGTGGGCGGCGGCGACTAAATCGCCTGGGCTGGGGAGGCTTATCCCGTTGGGCCTCCTCTACGATCGATTGGCTCACAAGGGACTCCACAGTAGCAACAGTGTTCAACCAAAACTTGTTCAGATTGAAGCCTCTAGTTGAATTGAGCACATAGTCTGTAGTGAGCAGCCAAGTATGCATGATAATAAAAATGGACGATGAAATGACGATGACAGCATGAGTGTCATGGTTGGCGAGAGGTGCTACGTACCCGAACGGCATGAAAAGTAGAAACGCCCACGTACCCCCGTGGACAATCCAGGACAGAGTCGGCGGCACTGGAGTACTCAGATACATCATAGAGTCGCCTGCACAGCCCCGACAGACAGTAAGGTCAGCTTGAACAGACAGTCGCACGTGGGAGGGTACATCCTTGATGGCCGCGAGGTTACGTAGAAAGCATGAGTACACTGCGGGGACCGACAACGGCCGGGCTATGGTGTCAGATTTCTTTAGCAACCCCATAGCCTCTAGCGCTTCGACTCGATCTTCCCCTCGACCGCCCGTTAGTTCAATAAGATGTATTGCGTAGCTGAGGAGGAGCAGTCGGTAGAGATCCAAGTGCTCTGCCATGCCCTCGCCAGTCAAGATGACGGTGATATCGATCGAGCGTCCAGCAGCGTGGGCAGTGAGGGTCCGCAGAGCCCACCAACGGGAAAAGCTGGCAGTGGTGTAGAAGCCGAATAGGAGGCCCAAGATGATCGAGAAGACGCTCCAGAGCTTGTCGAGGGAGGCCAGATGTAGGATGACGTCCTCCATGAAAGGGGCATGGGCGAGCATGCTGAGGCCCAATACGTACAGGAGAGTAGGGACGACGAAGGCCAGTGCAGAGACGCTGGTGGAACCGACCGCCGCGGCAGAGAAGGGGTAGGGCAGAAGACTCATCGCGGAAAAATGCTTCGAGACGTATACTCTTCCGAATTGACCGGAGACCAAGACAATTACAATAGTGAAAATGTGACAATGAAGATGCAATCATTCCCTGGCGCGTGATGACCTTGCCGCAAGAGAATTCATTCGCTCTTCTGAGGTTATTGTTCGAGGGACTGTCTTAGCGTCGTCAGCCTCTACCAGGCCCCTTCCTAGTGGGCCTATACGACGGTAGCTCTCCTCCTCCTCCTCCACCGTCCCAGAAGCCTCTACTTGCTCGGTTCACAGTGTCACCCTTGTGTGGTCGAGGCCTGACATTGCTAAGCTGTTCAAAACACAATAGGACGATAGCTACCCGTGGATCTCCTCTCTCCGACGCTCTGCCTCCTTCTCCTGCCACTCATGACTAGCCTTGATTCGGGTGGCATCGGCCTCTAATCTGTCGAGATAGGCCAGACGTTCCTTCGGAGGATTCAGATGTTCAGCAGGACCTAATAAGACGTGATAAAGGGACTCAACAAGAACCAAACACGGACCACTCCCTTCTTCCACTGGCGTCCTCCCCGAAGCCGTCTCCTTATTAGTGATGTAGTGGTAAACCACATACCCCACAACAGCGCATAGGATGATAGCCACCGGAGACACCGGTGGCAACAGCCAACTGTTCTCAGTTGGCCGGGACGGCGCTGAAGCAACAGAAGATGACGTTGATGATGCTCAGCGACCTACCCTCAATGGCTTCAGCAGCATCCTCTGGTGGTATTCCTTCCGCGTTGAGCTGAGATTGAGAGAGTAAACTGAGATCGCGGTCACATCCTACCTCCGTGGGGAGGCACTGTATACTATGCATTCCACTCAGTGCAAGCCGCCTTTGGTCTTTGCTCTCTGGCGGCAATGGTAGGGCCGGTAAAATCTCTACAAGAGTGATAGCAGCCAATCGCATACAATCTGGTCTACCTCGGCCTCTCTTCTCTGTTATGAGGGAGTCCACTGGTACACACTCAACTGCTGCAGAAGAGGGGTAGTGAAGGCAGAAGCCAGGAGGACACAGGTGTTGGAGTTCGCCTATCGCAGAGTACATCTACCGGAAGGTCTAGGTGCTACAGAAGACATCTCACCTCCAGAAGCGGGAGTGATCTCCCTACCGAGGCAGCCAACAAGGACTGAACTCCACGTTAGGAAGAGTCTCATTAGGGATGAATCAAAAGGAAAAGCTCCGACTCGATCCCCTCACATAGCTGGAAGGATCCTAAGTTGCCACCGACGTTCGACGCGACTACCCGGTCTCAGATTGACACACTCCGCACACGACCCTCTCTTTGCAAGAAAGTCGGCTTCATTGCAGCATTCCACTTAATTGAAATCCTCACGTGATTTGCCTCCCCGCAGCTCCATCGTTCCAGGCTTGAAGAGCATCTTCATCTCCTCCAGTGTTAGACTACGACCATCGTCCTTCTGTAAAGCAGCCGCATCGCTCGCGTCGAAGGCCATGTTAGTGAGGCGACTCTTGCCTGCTTGAAGACTCATGATACGTTGATCAATCGAGTCACGCACAACGAAGCGGTAGATTCTAACAGTGTGCTGTTGGCCGAGACGATGGACTCTCATCATAGCCTGCTCTTCTACGGCCGGATTCCACCACAGGTCTAGCAAGTACAGGGTCCTTCCTGCGGTCAGGTTGAGCCCGACGCCGCCGGCTCGCAAAGATACCAACAACACCTTCCCTTGTGTCGTGCTGTCTCCATCGTCCTCAGGCTCCGACACTTCCACCTCCCCACAGGCATCCAAAGCGTCCGCCAGGACTGGTCGGATTTCGCTCTTGGTCGTCTTGTGGTTAAACCAGGCAACATTGCTCTGCCGCTCGTTCTGGTTTTGTTTGCCAGTGATAAGCCGGTAAGGGACTTGGTTAAGATCCAGCATGTGCGATATCATCCAGAGGTAAGATGTCCACTGGGAGAAGACCACCACGTTCCAACCTCTTCTCACATCCCTCTTTACGTATCGCAGCAGCTTCATCATTTTAGAACTCAAACGGAATTTATATTTAACCGCATCGTCTTCCGGAGGTTTCTCATCGGCATCATCCTGGAACTGACTGTTCGCATTGACCATCGCCTGTGTTGGAATGACTTGGAGGGAGTCTATGGATACCGGCTTCCGGCACACAGGGCAGGTTCCTGCCCGTCTGATGCACGCGTTAGCGCAGGGTTGGCACATCGTATGGCCACACACTGTCAACACAGGCTGCTTCTTCACGTTGCTGCTGCTGAGTGCCTCGAGGCAGATGACGCACTCTGGAAGGGACTCAGACACCTTCATGTCGTCAATGACCTTTTTCAAGTAATCCTTCCTGTGGGGCGAGGTATCTCTAGGGTCACCCATGAACCTATCGTAGAGCTCATCGAGGTTAGCTGCCATGCTAGAGCCATCTCCTGGACGCGCGCTATCTTCGTCTTCGGTCGGCACCCTACCCATGACCTACCCAGAAGAGGGACTTCCCAACAATTAGTGAAAGATGTCGAAGGTGCAGTACGGTAATGGAAGAGGAGTATCGGCAATCGAATGTGCTGCGAATGAACGACCCACAAGAGGCAACCTCACCTTAGCGAGCTTGGATGGTATACAGAGGATAGGATGACAGAGTGCTTGGCGGAGTCGTAGGATAAGATTGAGTATCTGACGACCCATCAAGCGTGCCGCCTACGGTTGCTACTGCGGCCTGCCACCTTCATTCTGTGCAGATTCTCCGAATGCTCAATGAAGCTGTTGAACTCGAGATGGCTTCGCCAGAAAAGATAGGTGTACAGCCTCTCCTCATCGGCATCTAGGGGAATTTCTAACGTGCGCACCATCTGAAACGACGACCACATTCATTCGTTCACGTAGGGGCTTCCATGACTAGCAGCCACGGAGTGACCACCACTGTGAGTGGTCTGACCTTATCTGGCATCTGCACCAAGGGTTGGCCATTGGAATCTTTGGTTTCCTTGGTTCTTCTTATCATGATACGGGACAACATATTATGCAGAGCAGCTCGACCCGCTTGGTCCCCTTCCTTCACAGGGTCCACTATATGCCGCTTGTAGAAGGCGAACGACGACCACGGTTCGACGTGGAGGAACTGACAAGGGCAGGGCATCATGAAGAGTGCTCTTCGTGATGTGAGCATGGCGGCTACTTGTATGATTGGGAAAAGGTCCTCCAAAGTATTCTGGACAGGAGTACCTAGAGAGCCTCAGTCATCCAATAGATGGTACGAGATTAAGCTTACCCGATAGACACCAGAGACGATCCCCGTGGAGACAAGTCCGCACCACTCGAGAGATTGCCGTTACTCGTGACTTTATCAAGTGACACTCATCCAATACTATACGCCGCCACCGAATGTGCTGAAAAGAGTTTAGTTCAGGAGGAAGGGAACAGGTCTGCCCACTTTCATGATGTCCGGTCCATCCCGTGTGACGACGCCGTAGGTGGTCATCACGAGGCCGGCCCTCTCTGCTACTGCGACTAGCTCCTCAGGACTGCGTATCCTATCGTTTCCGTAGTATTGGAAAGGCTTACCTGCGTGTGATAATGCTCGGGCTGAGATGGATGACAGTTTCATTGAATGAAATGCATTATATCGTAGAACGGCCGATTATTCTTTTAATGAGGAAATATCAGCCGTACGGTCCTGTTACGCAGCTCTTTGAATGTCGACTCGCCACTGAC